TAATGCTGGGGGCTTAATATATAACAGATGCTATTCCTCATGTCTATGATTCTCAATCCTCCAGGTCACAGTTGTCCCAAAGGTGATTTTTCAAGCAGCAACTGGACTTTGTTTTTTTCCAAAAGGAAAAAAAAAACAAAGTCCAGTTGCCTTTTGAAAAAGTACCTTTGGGATGCCGTTCCTCAGCACAAATTACTTTGTGAAAGTATCCCCCATTATGTGTTGTATAAATTTGGTCTGCATTTTGAGCATAGTTGCACTCTAGTCCTAAAAAGAATATTCATATTAGGGAGGAAAATTGGCCATAGAAGGGGAGGACTTGTTAATGGGATTTGATTGTATATTTTTAACGCAAGGTTTTCCAACCTTGGCAAGTTTAAGAGAGTTGGATCAGACTCATGATCCAGGAGGGCTGGCTGGGGAATTCTGGGAGTTGAAGTCCATGCATCTGAAGTTGCCATCGTTGAGAAAATCTCTTAAGGGAATGAGATCTAATGACTTCTTGGGTTCAAGGTTCAACAAGTGGATTCCATGAAGTGGGGGATAAGTTACACCAAAAAGATACACCAAATAATCAAATATCTTTCGTTTCTTTTTCCTTTTTCAGGAATTCCATGTGGCCGTTCCTGCTTCTCTGCTTTAGGAATAATTGGGACTTGTGAAACTCAGCCTCTAAGAATTGTTCCTTTTAGAACTTTTTCTGAAACACCAGCATACTTTGCTTCTAAAGATGGTGCAAGTAAAGATGGTTCGGGAGATGGCAGTAAGGTAAACACTTTGTGTGTTGTTTCAAAAAACACAACCCTATCCCACATACCATAGACAATCCTTGACTTATGACTGCAATTGTGTCTGGAATTTTGGCCCTAAGTCATGCTGGTTATGAAGCAGGTCATCATATGACTGATCCAGGTTTATAGCTGTCAGAACTTTGAATCATCAGGATCATAAGTACCTTTCTGGGCAGTCTGTTGTAGCTTTGAATGGTTGCTAAGTGACAAGTCATAAGTCGAGGGCTGCCTGTAGGGCAAAGAAATGTACATGTTTTGAGTGATCTCTTGAATCATGGCATCTCCCATCTAATTCAGTACAGAGAGATGGACACAGGGACCAGGTCGGAGGCCATAAACTAAGTCACTGATTTTGAAAAAAAAACCAACCTTAACTGTGACTTGGAATGCAGTTGTCTGAATTTAAGCAACATGTTCATGCTGTCAGAGGACTTTTGATCTTATAAAGCTAAGTAAATGAAAAACTGAACACAGACAAATTACTTTAAACCCAAACTTGCTGTCTGCGATTTTTTAAAAGCACAGATGGTGATTTGGAGCATAAATTATGTTGAAATACTCAATGTAATTGTGAAGTTGAACAATCAATGTTCATGTTTAGAAATTGGTGCCTTTTAAAATTCAGCAAAGATACTTTTCGGATTAAATGCTTGATATATTCTGTATGAAGATTATCTTTGGCTTACGAATATGGCTGGCTTGCCGAGGAAACAACATCGAGCATCTGCTACAGCTGGCACCCTCCACTTGAGTTTTCTGCCAACGATGAGAGTTTCCTGGCCCCATTTCCCTTGGCTGCGTATGGAAAAAGAAAATGGAGAAGTGTTCTCCGCTTGTTCCTGTGTCCTCTTTTTGACAGCCTGGGGACTGACTTGAGGAGGAAGCAAATGAGTAGCTTTGTTGTTGTTAGTCGCGAAGTCATGTCTGACCCATCGTGACCCCGTGGACAACGTTCCTCCAGGCCTTGCAGTCCTCTACCATTCTCTGGAGTCCATTTAAGCTCACTCCGACTGCTTCGGTGACTCCATCCAGCCAC